CCCCAAAACCCCAAAACCCCAAAACCCCTTGTTTTAGATAATTTATTGAATAATATAGGAAAATGCATAACTCGCACGAAGGGTTTCAGAAAATCGACAGTAAGCAGTCTCTCTCATTTTAGGCACTCTACAGGAGGAACAGAATGATGGGTCAGACTCCAATGATGGATCTACTGAGACAACCCCAGATATCAAATATTTAAATATCGCTCAAGCTATTGACGAAGCAGGAGGCTTCGGCCTCTTCCAGTTGCTTTATGTACCTTTGATCGGAATATCTTTCATAGCCAATGGATTCTTTATATACAATCTTAACTTTTTAACCCTGCTCCCAACTTTAATGTGCCCTAACCCTGATGGTATTGGTCACAGAGTCTGAATTGACGAAGCTGCACACCGAAAAGACACTTTCTGTGATGAAAATAACGAATTCAAAAATGGAGTGTTCATTGATGAAGACAGCTCTCGAACTTTGATCAATTGGATGTCAGACATGAACATGTACTGAACTCCTTCATTCCAGATCTCTCTATTTGGATCAATATTCTTTTTCGGTGTCCTTTTCTGAGCGATCGGGCTTAGATTTGCCAATAAATATGGAAGAAGACCAGCCCTTATCGTTGGCTGAGTGATTACTCTTCTATGTACCATCGGACTGGTATTCATCAATAATGCGATCGCAAGATACATACTATTGTTTATTTTTGGGGTGTGATTTTTCAGGAACATCCAATCATACGTCCTAGCGACTGAGATATGTCCAAAGAAGTATCAGCTGCTTGTATGCAGCTCTATATTCGCATTTGATTGGATCCAGGTTGCTATCCTTTCAGTTTACTTCATGAATATCACCAGAAATTATATCTATTTCTTTTATGGTGCTGTAGGAGTAGTATTAATAATGACAATTTGATCCCTTTTTGTCCCTGAATCTCCACTGTTTTTGTATGAGAAAGGAAAGTGAGAAATTGCCAGAGCAGTGGTGAACAAGATGAGCTTAATGAACGGAGCAAGTCTTCATAAGGAAAATTGGATATTTGATAAGGAAGAGCTCATTGCTTATGCACCATCTGGAAATTTAGATTTGGTTGTTGATAAAGAGGGGAGGAATATTAGCTCAGAATTCAAGAATAGTGGGAATATAGAGTTGAAGCCTTTGGGCAAGGGTGATATTTCGTTTGCGACTTCAGGAGATATGTCTACACCAGCCCCAGAGAATGCTTTCTACCAGATAAGGACAAATAAGCAGCTACTGTTTAATTTGATAGCTATTACAGCTTGATGGTGTTGTGTATCTTTCAACAAATATTTGATTTCTTTTAACTTGAAGCATATTGGAGGAAACATATTTGTTAATTCAATGCTATCCCCAATAGCAGATATGATTGGCCATCTTTTATGAGTTCCAGTTCAAAGATACACAAACACTAGGTTCACTTTCATTGTTTCCTTGATTCTTGCTTTTGTATTTGGAGCTTCTCTAATTTTTGTAAAAACAGTATGGTTAATCCCAGTATTGATTGTTTTCTCAAAAATTGGACTAGCTTCTGGATATTCACTGTGATACTACATGACATCTGAGTGCTTCCCTCCCTTGTTCCTTGCCTTCGTGTTCGGATTCACTCAGTTCCTTTCAAGGGCTTTCACAATCCTTGCCTTCCCTCTATCAGAGCTGGAGGCTCCAATTCCAATGATCCTATTCTCAGCTACACCAATAGTTGCTCTTTCTCTTGTAATCTTCGTAAAAAATGATCAAACAAAAAGAATGAAGGGAAAATTTGAGAAGCAGGAGTCTATCCAGCTACTAGTTGACAGTGATTCTCATGAATAAAGTTTCTAATTAAGTCTTTATATTTATACTCTCATGGTTGGCAACGTCTTTTCGGCTGAAATTTAGATTGAATTCACCTCACCCTCAAATTTTTGGTCTCTCAATCTTAATATTTTCAGCTGGGGTTTTGGGGTTTTGGGGTTTTGGGGTTTTGGGGTTTTGGGGTTTTGGGGTTTTGGGGTTTTGGG